GAACTTTCTGTTGTGTTCACTGCTGTATCCCTAGCACCCAGCACACTCCCTGGTGCACACTCAATGCCTAGGCACTGTCTCACACTCGGATTATTTGTTGAATAAGCAAATGAAAATCCAAGAAAATAAAATGATGAGTTATTTTTTTTAATTTTTATTTATTTATGATAGTCACAGAGAAAGAAGGAGAGGCAGAGACACAGGCAGAGAGAGAAGCAGGCTCCATGCACCGGGAGCCTGACGTGGGATTCGATCCCGGGTCTCCAGGATCAAGCCCTGGGCCAAAGGCAGGCGCCAAACCGCTGCGCCACCCAGGGATCCCAAAATGATGAGTTATTATAAAGAATAATAGAATTAGTGAAGTATTGGGTACAAATTTAGTATGTCAAAAACAGGAGCCTTTGAGGTGCCTGGCCAGTTCAAGTGAAGGGACATGCAACTCTCGATCTCAGAGTTTGAACCCCATACTGGGTGTAGAGATCACTACAAAAATAAATAAGAAAAAGAACAAGAGCCTTTGTATTTAGGAACCATTAGTTAGAAGAGTTAATGGAAGAAAGCATCACATGTACAGCAACAAGTAAAAATGCAAACTACCTTGGCATCAAAAAGAAATATTCGTGATCGGGATCCCTGGGTGGCTTAGCGGTTTGGTGCCTGCCTTTGGCCCAGGGTGCGATCCTGGAGTCCCGGGATCGAGTCCCACGTCAGGCTCCTGGCATGAAGCCTGCTTCTCCCTCTGCCTGTATCTCTGCTTCTCTCTCTCTCTATGACTATCGTGAATAAATAAATAAAATCTTAAAAAAAGAAAAAAGAAAAAAGAAATATTCGTGGTCTATATGAAAACAAAACTAAAAACTTAAAAAATTTCCTCCTGTATCCAGTTTGACAATTTAGGAGAGGAAGAAAATTAAACAAGCTAATTATAAAGATAATATAGAAAAATATGCAAGAAAATACAGGAAAATTTAGAGAAGGAGGCATAATGTGGTGATAATAGACATTCAAATATTAAAATGCATTATAAAACATTAATTTGAAAAGATACATGCACCCCTATGTTTATTGCAGTGTTATTTATGATAGCCAACATATGGAAACAGCCCAAGTGTCCGTTGATAAATGAATGGATAAAGAATGGTATAAATATGTGTGTGTATACACATATATATACATTTTATTTTATATAAATATATATATATATATGGAATATTACCCAGCCATAAAAAGGAATGAAATCTTGGTATTTGTGATAATGTGAATGGACCTAGAGGGCATTATGTTAAGTGGAATAAGTCAGATAAAGACAAATACCATATGATTTCCCTTTACATGTGGAATCTAAAAATCAAAACAAAAGAAGCAAACAAAAAAACAGAAACAGACCCATAAATATAGAGAACAAACTGGTTGTTTGGGATGAACAAAATGAGTGAAGGGGAGTGGCTTCCAGTTATGGAATGAACAGGTCATGAGGAGGAAAGGTATGGCATAGGGAATATAGTCAGTGGGATTGTAATAGAGTTGCATGGTGACAGATGTTAACTACACTTAAAAATATAAAATGAAACAAGTTACATTATAAACTTAATTAAAACTGTGTGGTACTGACACATGAATAGATAAATGATTAGAACAGGATAAAAGTCCAAAAATGGTATGGTAAAGTTGACTTTTCAAGTCAGTGGAGAAAAGATGCACAATCTCGTAAGTACTGTGGGACAGTAAAGTGCAATCCCTACCTCACAGCCCACGTCCACATAAATTAAAATTGAAAGGGAATATTTAAATATTAAAAAGTGAAACAATAAAAGTAATAGAAGAAACAATGAAAGAATTCAACCCCAAAACCACAAAAGGAAAGACTGATAAATCTGTGTAAAAAATTATCATTTAAAAATTTCTGCATGGAAAAAAGCGCTAGTAGAAGTAAAGTCAGAAAGCAATGATAAACTGAGCAAAATGTTTTTGTACTACACATAAAGGCCAACAATCTAGCTTTCAAAATGGGTAGATGAAATTAACAGATAATTCATAGAAAGCAAATTCATATGAAAAGCCTAAACCTAACCAAGTAATAAAGAGAATTGTACTAAGAAAAATTCAGATAAAAACTAATCTTAGGGGTGTCTGAGTGGCTCAGTCAGTTAAGCGTCTGACTCTTGATCTCAGCTCAGGTCTTGATCTCAGAGTCATGAGTTCAAGCCCTGCATTGGGCTCCAATTTGGCTCTACTTAAAAACAAAAAACAAAACAAAAAAAAAAACTAATCTTAGATATCCTTTTTCACCCACCCACCAAATTGGCAAATATCAAGGAGTTTCATTCCACCCATGTTGTCAAGGTAATTGCAAAAAAGGGAAATTGCAATATTTTGCTAGAAATGTAAATTGGTCCTTCTGAAGAGGTCAGTCTGTCAGTATTGATCAGGACTGCAAATGCACAGGGGATTCAGAAATTCTACTTCCAGAAATTTATCCTGCATGTAATTATATACATGTGAAATAGCATATATTCAGAGTCAATCACTAAGACATCGTTGGTAAAGGAAAAGGTTGGAAATCTCTGAAATATCTGTCAGTAGGAGACTGACTGAACAGTGTATATATGGCTGTTAAAAAGAATGAAGTGACTGTTTATGTACTGAGAAAAAATTACCTCCAAGACCTGCTAAGAGATAAAAAGCAGATCCAAATAGTGTGTTCAGTGTGCCCCCATTTGTGTGTCCTGGGGATGGTGGGGTTGGGCGTGAGGCGGATATTTGTTTCTGCATGAAGTGTCTCTGGAAGGATGCAGGAGAACATGACGCCAGGAGTTGCTTCTGAGGAGTGAAACTGGTGCCTGGAGAGGCACAGGGGTGATAGGGAGGTTTCTTCCTATAAACCCTTTCCTATCTTTTTTGACTTTTGAAACCATGTAAGTCAATCAATATAATTTGCTGCTTATTTATTTATTTTTATTTATTTGTGATAGTCACACAGAGAGAGAGAGAGAGGCAGAGACATAGGCAGAGGGAGAAGCAGGCTCCATGCACCGGGAGCCCGACATGGGATTCGATCCCAGGTCTCCAGGACTGCGCCCTGGGCCAAAGGCAGGCGCTAAACCGCTGCGCCACCCAGGGTTCCCAATTTGCTGCTTATTTAAAGTGAAATCACATTAGGTGCCAGGTGTCAGGATAGGGCAGTGGAAGCCACTCCAGAATGTTATCAGAAGAACCGGGTTCTAATTCTTATTCCTTCGCTAACGCACTGGCTGACCCTAAGCAAGCGGCCTCCCCGCATGGGGCTGACCCTGGCGAGGCCAGAGCAGCTGGCTTCCATGGCCCCTCCAGCTCGGGCATCCAGAGACAGAAACTGCAGCTTTTCCTTACACATTTCTGAAGTCATCTTTCCGCCTCCTCCTCTCCTCTGCAGCTCATCAAAAGCTCAGAGGAAAAGACAGACAATTGAAGAAAATAAAATTGCGAAGATGACTTTTATAGGGCTCCTGTTGAATCATTGTGTATTCCACCTCCAAAGCTGAAAATGATGAGTTTAATATCACACAGAGCAGTGCATCTTGTGTCTCTCCAAAGACAGCTTACGCTACCCAGAGAGTTGGGAGCTCGGCAAGACGTAATTTTTCACTCCAACTTGGAGGCAAATGAAATGACAGTCATCAGGCCCACATTCTAGAAGCAACACAGTTTTCATTTGGTTTTAACTTTGTTTAAAAGTGTCCGAAGGAGGAAGAATCCTTCTAAGCACAGGCTTTCTTTCTTTCCCAGGAATGCATGCTAGAAAGGGGATGGAGAGGTGGCCAGGTTTTGCCCCTGAGTGTTCTAGAGCTGGCCCGTTGAGAGTGAGAAGTTAACTGTGCCGGGGGTCAGGAGACCTGGGTTTCAGACTCAGTTATGCCAGGTTGGACAAGTATCTTTCGCATTTGAGCCTCTGTAACTCTCGAAAAGGATTATTGGGTATACGTTGGGCTGATATATAGGAAGAGAAGGTCAGATTCCAGGGACATTGAAGATCTATGGGCCAAAATATTTCCCCAATTCTTGCTAATCTATGGTGTTGTCTGGGCAGTCTCTCTGGGGTCATTTGTTCAGTGGTTCTGTGTGCAGCTCCTGAGCACCCTTCATGTCCAGCCACTGGGCCCTTCCCAGACACCTCCCTACTGTCAGGGAGCTCGTAGATGGGAATGTTCACGAAGAATACCACACCAGGCTAGGGACTGCCTTAAATATGTGTAAGGAAAGAGCAGAGAAAGCCTGGTCAAAATCATTTTTATGGAGTACAAGGTATAATGTGTACTATTCTATCCATGCACTATTTAGATATTATTGGGGAGCAGGTGTGGCAATATGAAATGAGGTTAAATAAAAGAATTAATATGTCATATGTAAAACTCCCGGAATTGTGTTTGGCATGGATTAAAATATGCAGTAAATGATAGTAATTATTATTATAGTGTTTGGTTCCCACTATAACTCTTGGAGATTGAAATTAAAATACCCATTTGTCAAATACAAAAGGCTGAGACTCGTTGTAGGGCCATGATCTACCCCAGACCTCCTCAGCTAGAAATGGCCCAGTGGGGCCCAAACCATAAGCAGGGCCAATATTAATACAATTGCGCTACCTCATTAGTCAGGAAAACGAAGTCGGCTAGTGCCTTTAGTCACGGATGTATGAACTGTTCTGGGTAAGCAACATCAGGACTGAACCCAACAAAACCCTCACCTCTTCAGGACCCCAAAGTGGGACACTAAAGGGAGTGTTCTCAGCCCCCCGGGGAGGGGGGGCGACGGTGTTAAAAGTGAGGAGAAATTGATCTTCACAAGTCTCAGCCTCTCCAATCACATCGCAAATGGTGCTAAATCTGCTGACACAGGGGTGCAGCTTGGAAGTGAGTGTGTGTGTGTGTGTGTGTGTGTGTGTGTACCTCGTTTAGCATCTGGTCCTTTAAGGCAGGCTCAGTGACCCCAGACTTCTCATTTGTCATCCTTTCTCTCAACAGAAAACAAGCCTGGAGTTTTATATCGACATCCACGCCCACTCCACCATGATGAATGGCTTCATGTACGGCAACATCTTTGAGGATGAGGAACGGTTCCAGAGGCAGGCCATTTTCCCCAAGCTCCTCTGCCAGAATGCCGAGGACTTCTCCTACGTAGGTCAAGAGTTCTCCCTCAGCAACCCCCCTGGCTCCCCCCGCTTTTACTTCACCTCTCTCCCTCCTCACTCAGTTCAGTTGGGTTCGACCCTCAGAGAACCCAGCTCCAGGCCGGGGCCCGTGTGCGTGAGAGAGATCCAGGCCAACAAGCTGTGCCCAGGCCCTCGAGCGGCTCCTCACCCACCCGGAGGGAGACTCTTTGGAAAGGCAGCCCTGGGTCTTTCTGAGGACCTGGGATTTGTTCCGTTGAGCTGACGCCAGCGTTAGCAAGAGAAGGGACTCGCTGAGCATCCACCCGTGCTGGGCCCTGGCCCACGGTCTACTTTCACCGGCTCCGGCCCTTTCAGTAGGAGCCTCCCGTACCTGCAGACAGGGGTCTTGTGCCCCCCCCATGCTCTCCCTCCCTGACCATTTCTGGGCCCCGATTTCTTTGTCAGGAATTTGTGGGCGATCGTGTTTTGCCCTGCCTGTGCACAGCCTCCGGGGAGGCAGTCGTGGTAGCCGGAGCCTGCTGATGCACAGACCTCAGCGGGGGCCAGACACCGGCTGCGACTGCCCGCCTCACACGCTGAGGAGAGGCTGTGGCCTGGCCATGAGCATAATTTGCAGCAGAAAGCAATCCTGGGGAAAGGGCGAGGAGAAAAGATCAGGAGAATTGGCAGGTGGTATCGGGACAGAGGAGAGAGTTTTTGCACATTTTCCTTTGTTTTGATACTAACTCTCTGAGGCCTGTTATTTCCATGTGGCCAGAGGGGGAGAGGCCCACAAAGGTCATAGCAATTTTTGAAGTTGATGAGCTGAAAACTTCCCTGCCCATTCCTCCCGGGCTGGACATTAGTGGCGATGATGTGTTTCTCCATGAGGTTAGATGCATTTTGAGTCCTAGACATTTCGAAGGCCTCACCAGGGAAGGAATTGGCCCAGTCTCCTGTCTGTACCCAAGAGACACCTGCGGCCCAGAGACGTTCAGTATCTACAGCAAAGCCACTCAGCATCGGGCAGTAGAATCAAAGCAGGCAGCTCCCCATTTGCACGTCTGGGACAGAAAGAGCCGTATGCCTGTTTCTGTAGGGACCTACAGGATGGCCACTTTTTGAAACCACTGCCATTTCAGAGCACACTGTGGCCTCCTGGTCCACGTTCCCTGGGCGACAGGCCTCAGACACCCTCACAGAGGTGAGGTTCCCAGGGCAAACAAGAGGGGCACGGTCAAGGAGCTTTGTTTCTGGCCTTGCCTGGCATTGTTTCTCTACTGCAGCCCCCTTAAGTGCTCAAAGCCTGTCCTCATCCCGTCCCTGTGTCCCCTCTTCTCTGACCCTCAGTAAACGACTCTAAAATGATTTTAGTCCTGCATGGACTTCAAAGGTCCTTTCAGATGTGTCATTCTAATTTTCTGACCCCTTCCTTTGCCTCAGAATTCACACACACACGTATGTGCATATGCAACATAGGGACACACGTGTGCACACACACAATTTCTCTTCCTTTAAATATGTCTCTAATTTTCTGCCTTGTTTTACTATTTTCTTTCTCCCTCTTTTCTTTCTCCTCTTATATCCTGCTGAACAAGATACATGTTCTCTCTCTTTGTTAAAGATTTTATTTATTTAAGAGAGAGAAAGAGAATGAGAGGGAGGAGAGGCAGAGGCAGAGGGACAAGCAGACCCCCCACTGAACAGAGATCCCAACATGGGACCCCATCCCAGGACCCTAAGATCATGACCTGAGCTGAGCCACCCAGGCGCCCCAATACACATTCTCTTATTAAAAACCCCAACTCTTATTTACTTAGATCTCCACGGGTTAGCACAGAATGCCCCGTTAGCCACAGAGAAGTCACCCTCACAATTCCATGATAGAGATGTTCTTATCGCCTCCCCTTTACAGATGAGGAAACAGGCTAAACCACACAAGCCAAGGTGCCTAACAATCTCGCATCTTTTTGAACGAGGGCCTTGAGACGTGGACCTGCTTGCTCTATCCTCCTCTGTCCCCCGCGATGGGGGAGACCGACGCGCTGTGATCCCTACCCTCTGGTGACGTTGGGCAGGAGATGGGCTGCCCCTAGGGGAGGGGGAGCACCGGGAAGGCATGTTGGGGTGCCTGGAGTCGCTCGGCCCTGGGTTTAATCTGTGCTCTAAAACTTGCTTGCTCCATCTCTGTGAGCCTCGTTTTCTTACCCAGAGGGCCCAAACTGCAGCACCCACGTCAAGGGGTTATTTTGAAGCATAAATGAGATGCCATGTGGGAAACTTTATCAAGTTGAAAGCACTACCCAAATTTTCTCATTTTGGTTATCATCATAGTATAATTGCTTCTTGTTCTCTGTCCACTTTTCCTTGCTCCGTCTGTCCCCTTTCAGATTCCCATATACTGTTAAATGGCAGGTACTATCCAAGGAACTCTGCTGGATACTTTCTTTTAATTCTGCCTTTATTTCATCGGTCCTCGTAATAATCCTGTGATGTGTGATCACCATCCCACTTTTCAGATGAGGAAACTGAGACGCAGTTGTGTTGTTAGACTTGCACAGGCTGATAGCCAGCAGGTGCCTAGCCCTGATTCTCTGCTCCCGGCTTTGTCTTTCACAGTCCAGCACGTCCTTTAACCGGGACGCCGTGAAAGCAGGAACCGGGCGTCGCTTCCTCGGTGGGCTACTGGACCACACTTCCTATTGCTACACCCTCGAGGTCTCCTTCTACAGCTACATCATCGGGGGCACCACGGCGGCCGTGCCCTACACTGAGGAAGCCTGTATCCTTGGCGGGTCCCCCCAGGCCTGGGCCAGCCCACATCCGGCAGAGAGTATCCAGGTCTGGCAAGATTTAATGGGCAGGTCAGGACTCTGGTCGCCGGCTTGGTGAGGGCTGACACTCTGGGGTGAGGATGGAGGCTGTTCTGCTGGTGGCATCTTTGGATTATCCTGTCCTCGCCCTTCTAAAGGGCACCCCCTTGCCCCTGCTGTGGTCCTGTGCTGCTCCCATCTCTGTCTCCCCTCCACGGCCTCATGGGGGGGTGAGTCTGCTCTCCCTGCTTCTTATGTCCCCTTCCTCCTGGCTTTTCTTTTCTCTCCATCCTCCTCTCCTCTCCTTCTCTCCCCATGCCTCCCCGCTGTCTTTCCTGCCTTCCTTCCCATCCTCTGTACATCTTTCTCTTTGCTTTGGCACTTCCTTTGCCAAATTGGTCTTCCCCTTAACTTCCTCATAAAATTTCTCCCAAAGCCCCCATGCTTCTTCTAGTGAAATTGGAGGTTACTTTCTAGCTGCTTGAATTTCTAGGGATTGTTTAGTCTTTCTAGTTTCCTGGGTGTTGTTTTAATGTCAGGTCACTGCCTAAGGATCGTGACAGATCGTGACAGTTTTTGTTTTCCTTTATCCTTTTGTTTTTGGATTGACCCACTTCTCCTTTCCTAACACTTAATTTTCTTAAAATTATAGTTGATGAAGGAAAAAGGAAAAGGATATTAACTCTGTGTGTGTGTATATATATATATATATACATATATATATATATATATATATGTATATATATATATATATATATTCTCTCTCCCCAGAAGTCAAAGTGCTCCTTTTAGCCTTTTTCAACCCTTGGTCAGTTATATGGAGTTCCTACCATACTCCATACAGGAATCATCCTTCCTGGTTGGGGAATGACTCAGGACTAGTCCACCCAGTCAGTTGCAGCCTGGTGGCTCTGGGAGGTCCAGTTACCTTGCTGAGCATGGGAGGCAGAGTGATGGCCCCCCGTGGAAGGGGGAGCAATAAGTAGGCCAGGTGTTTGATCTATGTTTCAGATCCAGTAGAGCACTGGAGAGGTCATGATAAGATCTCAAGAGTCCCCTCCTTCCAGTCACAACACCTGGGACAGTCATCTTGAAATCTGCTTTAATAAGCACTTGCCCTAGGAAGGCCAAGGGAGTAGGCTCTGCTGTGAGGCAGAGGAACCCGGCCTCTTCTGTGGTCCACACGCCCCCCACCCCCAACACTTGACATGTGGCCTTGACTTCTTGGGGACCTGCTAACTCCTGTAATACAGGGTAGGTGTCATTCCACGCTCTCCCTGCTTTGCTCTCCCCTGACCTTGGGGGAGTTGCCTGGAAGAAGCATTTGAGCATGTGTGTGGGGTGGGATTCCACATACCCACAGCGAGCCACAGGTCCCTCAGAGGAGACCTGCACTTAGTCTGTGGTTGATTTCTGATGTCACAGGTGCTCTCTGAGCACCTCACATGCTTTTGTGTTGGAAGTAAATGTGTGTTTCTTAGTAGAATGCCCCTCCCTTGGCCCAGGCCCAGGTTGCCTCCTCAACACCCAGTCCTCATTCATCAAAATAAGCACACTGTCAGTGTGTGCCAGGAATCATACTAGGCATCCAGGGTAAAATACTGAACAAAAAGCCACGGTCCCAGACTCGCAGAGCTTCCGGTCTGCTTGGAGAGACAGAAAAGGAAAGTGGCAATTATAATATGTACGGTGAGTTCCCTAGCGGAGGAATTCCAGAGAGCCATGGGCAACTTTCCTGTAACAAGTACACGTGAGCGTCTGCCATAAGCCAGGGTAGGTTCTAGGCACGGCGGATGTTGCAGAGAAGACACTAAGGACAAAAATGTCTTCGTGTGGGGGTAGGAGGAGATTCAGGCACAACTTTGGGAGGTCAGGGAAGCCTTCCGGTGGAAGTGACATCGAAGCTGAGTTTCTAAGACTGAATTGAAATTAGCCAGATTGGGTTGGGTGGGCCGTTGGAAGGAGAACATGGCAGACAGAGGGGAGGCAGAAAGGTGTGCAGGAGGCAGGAAGTGGTCCAGAATGGCTGAGGATGGCAAATGCAGGAAGTGTCACTGAAGTGGCAGGCTGTGAGGAATCTGAACTCGAACGTGAAGGCAATGGAGAGCAAGAGAAGAGTGTCGCACGGTGGTGGGAAGCCACTCTGGCTACAGTGGGAAGGATAGATGGGGCAGGGAGGGGGCGAGACTGCGGGCAAGGACGCTCACCGGGGGCTGTTCTGACAACCCCGGGGAGATGAGTCAGGGCTAAACCTGGGTGCTACTAGGGAGAGCGTAGACCAGGGAACCCCCTTCATGTCGATTTGGTAAGTGATGGGTGGGGGTGTCAGTGGGGAGCAGGAGTAGCTATAGGAAGGAGCTCAGGGTGGCCAGGGAGGCGGCACACAGCAGAGCAGACCGGAATGCCCTCAGAGCCACCCTGCTTTGAGCCGCCACCTGGAGACAAGAAGAGGAGCCAGGAGTTGCACGAGGAGGCCAGGCCCGCTTACCATATGAGTGATTTAACCTGGTTCTTGTTCAAAATACACCCTCCTCTCATAACAGAGGGAGACATGAAGCAGACAGATTTTGATCTTTGCTGGCTGCTAGCTTCACGTCCCAAGCGGAAAGAGAAATTACATGGTCTGATGGGAGAGGCGGTAGGGCCTAGGAGGACGTGTCCTCAGCCCGGAGTCAGGAGACCTGGACTGTGATGACAGCAGCAGCGTCATCCCGGAGAGCGCCCTTCAGCACGTCCCGTAGCCTCCCCAAGGTGAGCCCACACTCTTCCCAGAGACTGTGAACCTGCGCTCTCCTAATCCCTGCTAAGGGAATGAAGCAGAGACAGCCATGAAAAATGCGCCCTTGAGCAAAGGGCAGACTTTCAATTGAAAGAAACCTGGGTTGGAATCCTGGCTCAGCCACCTGCTAGATGTGTCACCTTGGGCCAGTTTCATCACCTGCCCGGGGCCTCAGTGTCCTCATCAGTAACGGGAGGACACAGCACTAAGCCTCACTGAGCTGCAAGGAGTTAAAATGAAATAATGCATGTGCGTCTGCCCTGTCAGCTTTAAATATTAAGTGACTGTCGGTTAAAACATCCAATAGGTGTATGTGCCTGTGAATGAGGACCTCCATTTGCGTTAAGAATGTGCTGTTAGGACAGGAGGCTGTGGCGAGGTTGGCAGGGTTCACGGGGCAAAGGGTCTGGGTGGGGTCTCCACGACTGAGGGCCTTGGCCTCACAACACCAGGTGGCTCGTGGAGTGGGGTGGGTGCCTGCCCCCGGAGCAGCCCTTCTCACGTCAGGGTACACGGAGGACATGTCAGCTGTCCAGGGCCTGCTGGGGGAGCGTAAGACCAGGGAAGAGCTGGGGGACAGGAAGTCCTGAGGGACACCACCCGGGCCCACAGAAGCGTCCACCTCTCCACCCACTAGAACATAGGCATCTGTCAGTTTAATTTTTCTCCCTGGAAAAGCACCAGCTAAACACTATCAGCAGCTTGTTCTCGGACATTCCTTCTCCACTCCATCAGGAAAATAGAGCAGAGGACAGTCACTGATGCTTCCCGAGCTGTGTGACCTTGGGCCGCTTATCTCACCACTCTGAGCCTATTTCTCCATTTGCAAAACAAAAATAGTGATAATACTCACTCTTCAGGGATCCTGGGAGAGTGAAATGATGCCGTGTATCTCCAGTCCACTGGCACTGCCTGGCACCTGATAGCTACTCAACAGATGCTCCTCCTGCCCCAGCTCTTCTCACCCCCATGCAGACAGTATGGCCTTCCTTTTATTGGGTGAGTCTTGACCCTGATGATCTGGCTCTGAAGCCAGCATGTGGGGTTTGAATGCTGACTCCACCACTGTTACTGGAGAGCTCTGAGCAAGCCTTCTCTTAGCCTCGGCGTCTGCTATTTCTACCTATCAGAGCTGTGGAATGACATCATGGGTGGGCTTGATCTCTCCTGTGGTCCCTTCTGGCTCTGATACTCTAAGGTCTTTCTCTGAAATCTGAAACTTTATAACCCCATGCTTAGGTGAATTTATAAAATCAAGAATCCACAATTCTGTGTTTTGGGGAGTCTAAAGAATGGAGTGATCCCGTGAGCATTAAGTGTTCAGTCTAATAGGGAAGAGCAACACAAAGGTGTCCTGGACAGCCTACCAGCCTAAGCCCGTAGCTACTTTCATTCTTATAGTTAAGGGTTCTTAATGGAGGGGCTTATGGATGGTCTTCAAGAACAGCCTACGAACAGTCTACAGTTTGTGCAAAACTGTGAGTAAAGATACATAGTTCATTTTCTGGAAGGAAGACTTGTGACTTTGAGCAGAATCTAAGAGGGGGACATCCTCAGAGGCCTCTGCCCTGGTCTCCCTCTGTGTGTCTGATGTAGGAGTCCTGCGGACCAGTTCTGCTTTGCATCATTCTAGCTGAGGGCTCTAAGCCAGGTATTTAACCACTCTGAACCACCGTTTCTTCGTCTGCAAAGTGAGGATGACGATTAATTGCTTCACAGAGTTGTTTCAAGGGTTACATGAAGAATGCAGATAAATCACTGGGCACACACTCAGTGCCATTAAATATTAGTTCCCTCGCCTTTCCTTCCTGTGGTTTGTTGTTTTTGTTGTTGTCGTTGTGGAATGATAAATTCCTAAGAATTTTGGGCCATTCTTCAGCAAACCCTATTTACAATTTACTGGCCTGCCAAGTAATAAATATGCTCTGTTCAAACGATTAAAAAAAAAGAAGAAGAAAAAGAGAGAGAGAAAGGCTAAACTGAAATCATAAAATAACCCAGAGCTCCTCTGGCCTTTGTTTATGGTCTGGTTACAAGCTACAGGAAATAGCTCTTCGATATAATGGATGAGGAAAACACTGGGAACAGAGACCTTGGGTCCCAAGTAAACTGGTTTCTACATAGGCTTATAGCTATGGACACCTTGAAATCAGAAAATGCTGGCTTTGGGAGAAGAGAATGGTTGGTGTG